CATGTTGTAAAGAGAGACCGGTCCTTGGAGAAGGACATCATGCTTGGGACGGTGGAGAGCAGGTGCAGGAGGGGCAGGCCCTCTGGGAGGTGGATTGATTCAGTGATTAGGGCAATTGGGATGAGTGTGTTGAAGACAATTAGATTGGCACAGGACAGAGCAGAGTTTAGAGCTGTTGTACTTAGGGTCGCTATGAGTCGCAAGCGACTCAACAGCACATAACAACAGCAACAGTTTTGATTCCCAGCTAGTGTGTCTCAAGCATAACCACCATTTGTCTGTCTGTGATGCCTGGGCTTTGGTGCCCAACATGTTTAAGTCAAGTTTATATGTTAAAGCAAAGGCAACTAGGAAGAAAGACCTGGTGGTTTACTTTAAAAGCTAGCCAATGAAAACCTGACAGATATAGACAGTCTTATCCTATTGTGCTTGGGGTTGCTATCTTAGTTATCTAGTGCTGCTGTAATGGAAATACCAAAAGTGGGTGCCTTTACCAAACAGAAATTTATTCTCTCAAAGTTTTGGAGACTATAAGGCCAAATTCAGTGTCTAATCTCTAGGGAAAGACTCTCTCTGTGTCAGCTTTATGGGAAGGCCTGGTTCCATTGTTCCCTGATCTTCATGTGCCGTCTTGTTTACCCCATCTCTGCATGCTTCTTCTTGCCTCCTCTGCTCTTTTTTATATCTCAAAGTTGCTTGCTTAAAATACCTCCCCACAACAGGCCTTATAAAGTGAACACTTACCACAGGGAGGCACTCACTCAGAATAACCAACCCTGTGAGGTCAAAAGAACATTTGCCCAAAAATAGTATCCAGGAGGGAGAAAAGGGGAGGATAGAAGGATTAATGTAAATAGAATCTCAGGAAGTGAATGAGAAGAGTGGTAACATTGTGGGAATTGTAATATTATAAAACAAAATGAGCATGAGAGGTTGACTGGGAAGTCAATTCTTTTTGTAACCTTAAATCACCATTTTCCCACCATTTCCATTCATTCATTTTTGTACATTTTCCTCCCTCCCTCCCCTTCCACCAGTTTGCTTCTTTCTTTGGAAGAAAAATCTTTCGTTGTTATGCAACACCCCCTCAACCACTTTACTGTGCAGCTCTTATTCTGGACTCTTATCATACCGATAATACCTAATCATATATTCCTTTTATACAGTTATCTCCCTCATCTGTTTCAATGCCATGTGCATTATTTATTCCCTCTTTTCTTAGTTTCCCCCCAGCCTCCCGTCAGTCCTGTTTTATAGCAGTGGCATTGTACACTGTTTGTCTGTGACTGTGATATTTCACTTTGCATAATGTCCTCCAAGGTCACTCATTTTGTAGAATATTTCATGAGTTCTTTGTTTTTCAGTGTTGCATAATATTCCATTGTGCAAATATACCACAGCTTCTCTATCCATTTGTTTGTTGATGGGCACTTGGGTTATTTCCAACTCTTTATTACGGAGAACAAAGCAGCAATAAACATGTGTGTGCATATGAGTGGCAGTTCTGATTTCTTTAGGGTATATTCCCAGTAGTGAAATTGCTAGGTCAAATGATATTTTCATTTCCAACTTTTTGGGAAAGTGCCATACTGCCTTCCACAATGATTGTATCATTTTACACTCCCACCAACAATGAATAAGGGTTCCAGTTTCTCCACAACCTTGCCAGCATTTGTTATTTGCTGCTTTGTTGAATTTTGCTATTCTTATTGAGGTGAGATATCATCTCATAATTGTTTTGATATGCATCTCTCTTAGAGCTAGGAATTTTGAACATTTATTCATGTGTTTTTTGACCATCTGAATGTCTTCTTTGGTGAAGTGGCTGTTCGTATCCTGTGCTAATTTTGCAATTGGGTTGTTTACCTTTATCTTGTTGTGGTGCTCAAGTATTCTATAAATTCTAGATATAAGTCTCTTATCAGACATGTCATTACCAAATATTTTTTTTCCCAGCCTGTGGCTTCCCTTTTTATCCTGTTGGAGAAGTTTTTGGATGTGGCAGAGACAGTGAGGTTGGCACAGGATAGAGCAGGAGTTAGGGCTCTTGTACATGAAGTTGCTTTGAGTCGCAAGTGACTCGACAGCACATAACAACATAGGGATTTGATTCTTAGAAGGTCCCATTCTTTTATCCTCTCCTGGTTGTAGATACAAGTTGTTTTTTTTTTTTAAAAAAAGGAGACACTCTACACTGTTATGGCCTCTTAATATAACAAAGCAATCCCATTCTTAATTGGGTTTATAACCACAGATGGGGGTGAATATTTACCACACCTCTGTTTCAGGGACATAGTTCAGTGCATAACAGTGGTCATGAGTTAGGGTCCAACCCCATGGCAGCTAACCAGAACAATGCATCTCTATGTAGTCTGCATGTCTTAAATGAGGAACCCTGGTGGCACAGTGGTTAAGCACTTGACTGCTAACCTGTCTGCTTCCACCTGTCTGCTTCTGTAAAGATGATGACCTTGTAAACCCTGTGAGCAGATGGCTCTGTCTTTGAGCATTGCTGTGAGTTGGACTCAGTGATGACTAGTGTTTTGGTTTTGAGTGTTTCCCAGGCTTGCTTGAATATAAGAATCACATGGTGCTTGCTGAAAACTAAACATTCTGGCTCTCGATCCTTGTCTGCCAGTTCAGAATCCCCATGAAGGATCTTGAGAACCTGTATATTTTGTACTTTTTCCCAGTTGCGGTCTATATTAGATGAGCTTAGGAAACACTTTTTACAGGATAAATTACAAAGGGTCTCTTGGGTAGAGTTTGACATTTGATTTTATTTCCTTCTCTCTTCTAAATTTCTAGATTCCTTGCAGAAACTTGAAATGGAAACGGAGCTCAAAGGATCTTTCGTTGAGCTGAGGAAGGCACTCTTACAGCTGGATGTGAAGGATGCTTCCTTGCTGTCCATGGTAGATTGCACTTCCTCAGTTCTATACAGTTGGTGGCTTAGTGCATTATGTATTGGGCTGTTAACTGAAAGGTCAGTTGTCAGAACCCACAAGGGAAAGTTGAGGCAGTTTTCTCTCATAAAGATTTATAACCTCAGAAACCTGGTGGAGGGTTACCAGGAGTTGAAATTGACTCTGTGGCAATAGGTTAGAGAAGATTTAGTATAATAGGGTATATGGACACATGCATACACAAGGCTAGAGTAATACTGGATTTCTTTTTTTGTGGAATGTTGTTTTTCCTACAAACCTTGGGGGAATGACAGTGAGCTGTAGGAAGATTGTTTATTATTCTTCCTTTGCCAATTATAGCAGAAAAGCAGGCAGATATTTTTGCAGAAACACTCTCAGGAACATTTTTTCCTAAGAATGTGAAGCTCTATAGTAATAAGACATAATCAGCCTCACCGATGTTTTTAATGACCGATTGCACAGTGTACACAACATCATCATGTTTTTCGTATTAGAAATCATTTTATGTTATTTTAATGACTTTTCCTTGTAACTTTTTACTTCATTTGCTAAAGTGCTTTTGATATCTATTTAATAAAAAAGAAGATAACTTAACAGCATTGTATATGCAATTAAGATCCTAAAATGTACTCTTAAAATTATTTAAATGCTAGATATGTATTTCACTTTTATAACCTTTAAAAAATATAATTCTAAACATTTTTTAGTTGGCAAAAGTCCTCCAACTAAAAAAAAAAGAAATAAGCAAAAGAAATCCAGTGCATGGGAGATTGGAAATGTTTTCTTTTTAATACAGGGATGTTCATTATATGACTTTATATACTTTGTTTTAAATAACTTACAGTACATTGTAAAATATGCTCTGTTCTGTTCAGACTTCTGAGGCTAAGGGAACTTGTTTGGATAGCTTCTTTATCTTGGCGTTTAAGCAGTAGGTGAGCTGGAAAGGGAATGACATTTCCTGTTTGAGTTGTTGAAGGTACCAGGCCCAACACTGCTATAGATAAGCTCTGTCTTCTCTCCCAATGAAGCCAGGCCCATTTCTTATGCCCAGGCTCAGGCTCTTCTCCGCTGGCATGATACCCATCAATTCTGCAGCAGAAGTGGGCAGCCCACCAAGAAGAATATGGCCGGCAGCAAGCGTGTGTGCCCTTCCAATAATATCATCTATTACCCGCAGGTAAGTATTACTTTAGAAGGACAGTAATCTGTGCAGGCTGGATGCCACTCTGTCCTCATAAATGAAGCTATACAATTAACAGACTTTTAATTGTTCACTGCTTTGTCCCCATACCTCCCCAGCCCCGGTGTCTCAGGCCCTGTCCCCTCTTCTCTAGATGGCCCCTGTGGTGATCACTTTGGTGTCAGATGGGACCCGATGCCTCCTTGTTCGCCAGAGTTCTTTTCCTAAGGGGATGTATTCTGCCTTGGCAGGTTTCTGTGATATAGGTAAGGAGCTTGAGGCATGTACTGGTGACTGGAGGACATGTACACTTAGAATAGGTATTTCTCTGCCTTGTTGTTATAGTACCTGCAGTCTTGAGTACATTCTTCCCTATCATGTAAAGAAAATTACCTTTTGCCATTATAATTTTCTAGTATTTTATTAGAAAAACTTTCAAACATACAGCAAGCTGAAAGAATTATCCAATGAATATCCACACAATTTACTGCCTACGAATTTTTTTTTTACTGCTAACTGAAAGATTTATATTTGTTCCCATTCCAAAGAAAGTGATACAACCGAGTGTGGAAATAATTGAACAATATCATTGATATCACATGCAAGCAACATTGATTCTGCTGAAGATTATCCAAAAATGACTGGAACAGTACATCAGCAGAGAACTTCCAGAAGTGCAGGCTGGATTTTGAAGGGGTTGTGGTACTAGGCGTATTGTAACCAATGTTAGATGGATCTTGGCTGAAAGCAGAGAGTACCAGAGGAATGTCTATCTGAGTTTCATTGATTATGCAAAGGCATCTGACTGTGTGGATCACAACCAACTGTGGCTGACTCCGAGAAGAATGGGAATCCCAGAACACTTGATCATGATAATGCAAAACCTATACTTGGAACAAGAGGCAGTCGTCAGAACAGAGCAAAATTCAAAATTGGGAAGGGCATACGCCAGGGATGTGTCCTGTCTCCATACCTTTTCAATCTGTATACAGAACAGATTATCTGAAAGGCTGGGCTCTCTGAGGAGAAATGTGGCATCAGGATTGGAAGAAAAACTCATCAACAATCTGCATTATGCAGATGACACAACCCTGCTTGCTGAAACTGAGGAGGACCTGAAGCGCTTGCTGCAGAGGGTCAAGGA